GATTGTTTCCCAAAATGGCTGTTGTCTCATTGGGGTTTTGACCCACATCCTCCTATTATAAGCAATGAATGTTTTCCCAGGTATCTGCTGGTCTTCGGTATATCTCTTTGTGAATTGCCTGTAGATCTGATCTGCTGTGCATTTAGTGTGTTTTTTTGCTAAATTGTAACTTTTTTTGTTTGTTTTAGATATTATTCCCCTATTGGTTGTGTAATGTATACCTTTTCTCTTGTTTAGCAGAGTATCTTTTACATCTATTCTCCTCTGCTACGTAAAAGTTAAATTTGAGGTTATTTCAATTGCGTATTTTTGTCCCAGTTCTCTTGCTATAGGAGCTGAGCTTCTTTATCATTATGAAACATACTTCCAATGTTTTCTCCTAAGATTTCTAATTTTAGAGGTGTAGTAGTTCAGGAGAAATGACAAGGCTAAAATTGGAACCATGTGAAAAGCTGAGGAGCAAAAATCAAGTGAAAAAATGTTGAGAACAGGTGGCATTATGAAGGGTGGGTAATGCACTCACTTACATGCAGCTATTAATGGTATAATTAGAAAAAACAAACGAGAGTTGAGACAAGCATGTAAGCTAGAAGCTGAGGTTCCTGGTGAATGTGACAAAGATGCAGAAGTACAGACAACAGCAAAGGGCCCATGAAGCTATCAGGCATCTCAGAGGCCTGTGTGACTATTGGTCTGGGCTATGCCAAGAGGACAAGGCCTCTGTAGTGGAAGAATGAGCAGGCCCCACTTGTGAGGGCTGAAGAGGCCAGAAGTCTAGTCTCTAGTAAGGGAAGAACTGTGCAGTTCTTAAGACGCTAGTTTATAAGGAGTTAGGAGAACCATGGAAAAGCAGTTAGGACATGTGGTACTGCCAAGGTAATGCACCTCCTCTGGGCCTGTTAGATTTTATGATGCCTATGACTTTTGAGTATGAAACTAACTTCTAACAATGGTGTCAAATGTCTTAAAGATAATGGGTCGATTGAAATGACAAAAGACCTGACAAATAGGTTACTGCTAACTTTGGAAGTAATTTTTCACCAACTTTGAAGAAATCTGATGTGGATATTAAAATGAAGAAAAAAACTTTCACAGGTGTCACTCAATGAATAATCAACAGCAACCCCATGAAGTAATTTCTCCAAAATGGCAAAAACAAGTTTGTACAAACTCTAAACCAGAGCTCAAGAAATGTCTCCTGTAAGGTTTTTTAGTCAATACTTTAAACTTTGTGGACATTTCAGCCTTGCTATTATAGCACAACAGCCCAAGACATACCATAAGTGAATGCATGTGGCTGTGTCCCAATAAAGCTTTATTTATGGAACCAGGTGTCTAACCACGTTGGGCCCATGGACTCGTTTCTGACCTCTACTCCAATTTTTTTCTGATACTAAACACTACATCCCCACTCCTAAGACCACAGGTTAATAAAATTAAGTAGTTCAATGTTCCTTTTTTGAAGTACACTGTTCAAGCTATGGACTCATACTTAGTGATCCCCATGTGGAAGTCACTTTTTTAATGAATAGAGGAAGAAAAAGCAAGCAGGAAATTTCATGTTGGTTTCTGTCCTTAAAGAAGAGAAAGGACAAAATTGCCTTTGACTGGGACATTCACTTCAAATTTTTAAATTTACCACTTTTCCTTTTATATGATAGATTCCTTTGATATGATATAGGTTCTCTGTTTTAATAATCTTAAAGTTAACTCCATGCAATGGACAGGAAAAATGGTTTTCCATCCACAAAACATTTGTTGTATGTATAATATACCAAGCATATTCTAGTTCTAGGCTTCAATGATTTGTCTCTGCCTTCAGGTAGCTGTAATCTGATGTGGGAGATAAATCAAAAGGTAATTAACAGCTTGTGAAAAGGTCCAAAAGAGAAAGGATACTGTGAGGCGGCGGCAAAGATTTCAGAAATAGGAACCCATGACCTGGGTGTTTAAGGCTGGGTAGTCACTTTTTTCTCGACTGTATTACTAGAGATGGAATTTTTTGCACTGTAGACAGTATTTCTTGGCAGGTATTAGGAATGCCAATAGAGGGATGGAAAAGGCAGGCTATGGCCCCTCTTCCTCACTGAGGACTGCGAACACTTTCTTACTGCGGCCACTTTAGGTTCACATCTCTGAAGAACAAGTTCCCAGGCTGGTGGGCTGATTATGATGTGGGAGGGAGCAGCACCCAGAAGGGTTATGGGCTGTGTTCCACCCCGGACCACTTTGCTCTTGTACACAAATTATCTCAACCCAGCAGCTCAAGAGAGGGCCATTAGGGGACAGAATCAAAGGTACCTGCCTCAAACTCAAGGATCTGCCTTATGCCTGTTTCCCTCCTTCAAATGATTACTGGGGTAGGACCATTCCGATCCTTAGAAGCTCAGCCTGATTAAAAGTAGTTCCCAGCCCTCCCTGGTGGCGCAGCTGGTTAGAGCACAGCACTGAGAGTCTAGGGCCACTTCCGCATGAGTTCGATTTCCACCTGCCCCGGAGGTGACCACATGGTGTGGCAGACCTCTCCTGCCCCGCCCGCTGCTCCCCTCAGCAGTGTACTTCGTCAATCTGCCTGTTCTGTTCCCCACTCTGTCTCTGGTGAAGCCTCTCACTGCCTCTGAGCCTCTGGCCTGTACCCCAGTTCTGTATGCACAAATAAATAAATCTTTAAAAAAAAAAAATAGTCCCCATGGTTCGTTGGGCCTCGTTCAGGCTAATTTCCCCTCATAGTTGTATACTGGCACAGGTGGTCTTTGCCAGTATAAGACTAGCAAAGGTCTTTGCCAGTTCCAACATGAGGCTTTCCTAACCTGACTAAAATATCCCACCATACCAAAATTCTAGCCAATTAGTCAACCAGTTCCATCTCTAGCCAAGTTATTTCTAAAAACTGTCAAGGATGTATTATCTTCTACATATGTCCTCTTACTGTTGTGTATTTCTGTGTACAAAAAGCCATATTATTTGTTGGTGTCGCACAAAAACACAACCAGTGAAGTTCATCCTCAGAACCTGGACAGGTCACTTACTTACCCTTTGAGAAATAAGCCAATAAACATAGCAAATCTTTCTCAGCAAGTCAAGAAACATCAAGATAACCTGGAATCCAACTATTTAACAAGCAAGCAGAAATCTAGTAGTTTGTGTTATGTTAATTATGTGTACAGGGTAACGGTCAAAAGTGCAGACAAAGCAGCAGCTTAGGGTAGCCAGCACTACCTACAGGAGTTCCTCAGGGGGCAAAACCTTCTGGTCACTGTACAGGAATATTCACCTGCTGTTAAGCATCAACTTTGCCTACATGAACTATGCTACTCATTCTATGCTGAGTATCATTCTTGGCTTTCAAGTAGTCTTAGACAATGAAGGAGAGTTAACAGACCATCACCGTAAGAAAATTAGTTTTGGTTTAGTCTCATTAGAGCTAGACTGCTATCACACAACCTGAGTTGATAACTGGGGTTATACCAGCCTCTGGTAAGGCTTCTATCACAGCCTTCTCAATTTGTAATCTTCAGTGATTAAAGTGAGACTGAACATCTATAGAGAGACTGGAGAAAAATGTGGGGAAAAGGCAAGCTACATTTCTACTACCACAATACCACCTATGCAAAATAAATTGCCAACTTATGAATGGAAGAGGTGAAGTTATCGAAATGAGCATATCAGGTTTAGAAACATGAACTAGAATATGTATTCTCAAGGGCACTATTAAGTACTTGTTAGAATCCTAGATTAAGAAGGGAACATTGTTACAGATCCTGGTTCTATATCTGTGCTGTCCAAATAACAACCACTAGGCTACACAAACTGAAAGTAAAATAAAACTAAAAATTCAGCTGAGTCATATGAGGCCTATGTCAAGGGTTCAGAATCCAACTGTTTAGTGGCTAGCATCATACTGGACAGAACAGTCTAGAATACATCCATCATCACAGAAAATTGTTACTGGGCAATGCTGCTCAAGAAAACTTTGAGTGTAGGCAGCGCTCGGAAGAAACACTCCTTAAATATACTTGACCCTCGCTTTTGATACAGTATGTCACCTACCACAAAGCACTAAAAATGAAGATATGTGGGTGACAGTGCTTGTTTTACCTAGTTTCTTTATTTCTGAAAACATATATCCCTTACAACTAGTTTTGTCCCCTTTTGAATTATAGGGACAACTTATATTTGATTATCTATATAATATAGGCATTAGATGATGTGGCAGGACAAAAAAAAAAAAATCAACTCCCTGGACTCCATGTCTTTCCATATAGGTCCAGAATTATTGCTTATAAGCTAATTGCTGCATATTTGAATTATTAACTTGGGAATTTATCTCTGAAGGGTTTCCATACGAATTTTTAACTCTCCACCACTACCTCTCAGACTAGAACTTAATATCTCAATTATAACAGGCATTTTTTTTTGTTTCCCCAAATTTTTTCTACAAGTTTCCAGACTGATTTTTTTGTTCTCATCTATCTCTAATGATTGAAAATAAGATTTACAAGTTACTACTGGCTTTGCCAAGCCTATCTAATCACCCTACTACCTTTGAGGACCTTCCCAATCTCACTGTCCTGAGAGATGCCCTCACTAGATTTATACCAACCTAGATTTATACCCTTCAGTGAGAATTTTTTCATCATTCTTTGTGGCTTAATTCATGCCTACCCTATCCATGAAAATTTCAGGATCTACTCTAAACATGTATGGCATAGACTGTATGAAATAATTTAGCACATAAATTATACATTGTTTATGTGCCAGGTAATCACAACTAGAGGCACATTCTATCCACATTTGATATAAATGCTAAGGTGTTCATTTTGATCGAAGAAACACTAAGGATGAATTGCTAAAGTGTTTCAGCTCAAGCAAGCTGTCCTAGAAGACCAATTAAATGCAATCTAATATTATGACTAATGACAAATGTGCATTAACACAATACTGTACTTTTCAACCATTAAAAGTGTTACTGGGCATTAAAATCAAGTACATTAGAAAAATCATGATCTGTGATTGTTTTAATTATCTTAAGCCTTATGGTCACATGACTTACACATTTGTGCTGATGATATATCTGTTAATGAGTTGGCAAAAGCACCATTACCTATCACACATACATGGTAGTGCTATGAGTATATCTACTTTTGAATAGCTATTTAAAAGACAATCCTGAGCTGTATCTTAGTAAAGAATTCACAAGTTTTCGACTACATCTTGTCAAGCAAAAAATTTAAAAGTATCTGAAGTATCTTATAGATCACCTTTGTGAGAAGCATTTCTTTTTTTGATATTGTCAAACTAAAATGTCTTTCATTAAATGAAAGGCAACATTTTAGATACAGGAAATTTTAATCAAATTGGCATGTTAAGACCAAAAGGATAAAATGGGCATTGCCAGCTTATCTTCTGCCCCTGCCTTTACTAGGCTTATAACACAACTTGAAACACAGATGAATCTTGGTCTATATATGAGAAGCAAAGGGAATTTCTCAGTATTTATAAATATATTAATATAACCAGTTATATAAAATCTAAATATAAAACCAATTTCCTACAGGCTTGGAGATGGCATTCACCATCTCAGTTAAAAGTTGACGATCATTAATCAAGTAGCTAGATCTTTAGAAGGGCAAGCAAACATTGTACTTGATGAACTGTAACTGCTATCAAAATTCAAAACACCAATCATATTCATTTAACCACAAGCCAATCTTATTTAAATCAGGACTGTCAAACAAAAAAAATTCTATCAGCCATTCATGATCTGAATTCTGGTGTATGAGATCAATTTAAATATGGTACACACAAAAAGTCATGAGACATTTTCTGCTTTGTAATAAATAAGGCAGTGCCAACTATTACTCATTAGTAGCTTTCTTAAGGTAAGCTATCAATTCTGCCCTTTCTGACTTCTTCTTAATGCCAGCGAAGATCATTTTTGTTCCAGGGATGTACTTCTTGGGATTCTCCAAATACTCCATCAGTGTGTCCTCTTTCCAGGTGATGCCTAAATAAGAAAGATTTATTTAATATTTTACACTTCTGATTAAATTTTATGTAATGTGTGATTCAGTTGTGGCTATTTAACACCTGTCCCCCTCTTACCTTTGTTCTTGTTAGCATCTGTGTAAGAAAATCCAGGGGCCTGACCTGTCTTTCGCCCAAAGAGACCATGAAGATTTGGCCCAGTTTTGTGCTTGCCTCCCTTTTCCACAGTATGGCACTGAGCACACTTCTGAACAAAAATCTTCTTGCCCTTCTCAATGTCACTCATTTTTAAATCTAAAAAAAGAAAAGAAACAATTATTCTTGTTCTCTCCAATGAAAACCAATGATCATTCAGTTAATTATTAATCCACTGCAAAATCGATATTAATAACCAAAATAAATACTGTAATATTGGGATAGTCACTTCAATACCAAACATACTTAGAAGAACTTCTTGAAAACACCTGTCCGCATATGTAGATTTAATGTTAAAGCCCAAGTAAGTGTGGCCCTAGCTCAAAATAATTTCAAAAGATGAGGTCAAGGTCACACAATGTCATAAATCTGATTAAGCTGAACTGCAATTGCATTAAGTCAAAACCACCCAAATTTCAGTTTTTAAGAATATCCAATAATTCATACTATAATTTGAAGGTATCTCTCTGGGAATAAGGCAAAATATTTAAAAAAAAAAAAAAAAAGAAGAAGAAGAAGAAGTAGCTGCTTCAGCCTACTCGGGTCACTCTAAACTACCTTGTGGGCGTGAGGGCAGTGGCGGCTGTAGGGTCTGCCAGGGACCCCGGAACCCCTGAGGGCGACCACGAGGGTACTCGTTGGAGAAGCTACAACAAAAGCGACCTTTCCGAGATGCCTATGAAAGCTGCCGGTAAGAGCGACAGTGGTGAAGAAACGAGCCCTGACTGGATAAGTCTTTCTAAGAAGGGTGTGAGCGCTGCGCCCATTTCCCTCCATCCCTGCCCACACAAAAAGGAAGTCTCGTACATCATTTTCAGTTTCTTAGCCCCACTTACGGGAAGGCCCGCGTACTGGTCAGACTGCGTCCAAGCCGGTTTGGGCTTTCAGGGCCTTGACCGAGCTCATGCTTCTCGTTAGGCATGAGGTTCACTTCCCCGCCAGCAGTAGCCCACCATGCTCCGGCCCGGGACCTTAACTGCCTACCCTACCAGTCCCACGCCGGCTCCACTAGGATTTCCTAGGTACGGGCCTCTGTACACCCCTGAGCCTCAAACAGAAGGTCCCCTACGACTTGGCCTCCCACCCACTACGGTCCTCGCAGCCTGCACTCACCGCTTTGGTCGCGGGCGACTCGAAGGTTACCGTTCCCAAGCCGGACGTCCCGCTCTTTAAGTCCAAGGACACGCCGGTACGCGCCTATGTACCGGTGTTGGTGCAACCGAACTCGCTCCGCCTCCTCGCAGTCCGACGTACGTCCAGGCGGGAGGCTACGCGGTGACGCCTCCGCCCCTCATTGGCTCAGCACCAGCACCAGCAACTGCGCGCGCATGCCAGCTAGCAAGGTAGGATGTACTGCGGGGGTGCCCTTCTGCTCTAGGCCTCTCATGCACGGCAGTTACGACAGGCCTTAGGGCGTGCAACGGAGGTGGCTGACATCACCCGCCGGTCTTTTTGCGCATGCGTGCTCGCCTGGGCCAGTGGGGTGGAGTCCGGTGGTGGATCCCGGGCGTTATCTTACTGAGGCAACACCTTAGTGCTCGTTTAAGTAAGGCACTTGAGGCGGGGCGTTTTTGCCTCACTGGAGGTGAACGCCCCATCTTGCAAGCGCTTACAGGTGCTTTTGCTGGCTACGGTTCCTTCAGCTGGCGACATTTGCCCGGACTTGATCGAACTTGCACGGCAGGCGCCACAAAACTCCAGAGAAAGAGCCTAGAATCAGGCGTCTTGGAAATTGCCATTGAGCTGAACTTGTTCCGCCTTCAACATGTTCCTTTAATTCACTTAAAAAAAATCTCCGCTTGATGGACACCCTGAGATTAAGGAAGGTGCTGTCATTCAGTCTCTGCCGCCCTGCAGCAGCTCTTCTCACTGACCTGGTAACCATAAGTTCCTTGTCCTTCCTGTGTTCCTGAAAACAAAACCCAGTCGCTTGCACACGTGTGTGTGTCTGTGTGTACACATGCTTATGGTATCTATGCCCCAGGTATAGCTATGGGAATATACACGTATATAGTTACATAAGTATATATCTATACGTACTTACACGTAGTGATAAGTGATAAATAAAAAATGCATACGGTAAATTTGAGAGGACAGGGGGGCAGAATGAAGGAGTGCATATAGGTATACAGACGGTTTTGATAATTGAGATTGGATTATAGATTAATTTGTCTTTAAAATGTATACAATGAGAATATACGACATGACCAGTTGTCTCAAACAATCAAGAAAAGGGACCACGAAGCAGTCTTTTAAAAAGACTTCAATAAGACACAACTTAAAAGAGCTAAGGAGCTGGCTTCTGCCTCAGCAGGCCTCCCTGTGACTGTGGGGGACAGGGCCACAAAGTGACTAAGAACACAGGCAAAATGAAGCACAACCACCTCTGGTGTCTCACTAAACACACCTAGTTCCTGCAGGACCTGATCCAGGAAGTGTGTGTTTTGCCTTATGCGAGGGCGGGTCATGGAGCAGCAGCTGGAGGTCTCCTAAGGACAAGCAGGTCCTCAAGTTCATCTAGATAAGGGTGGGGACACAAAGCTGTTAAAAGGAAGAGAGAGGAGCTAGGCAAAGTCTGGGCTGCCATGAGGAATGCAGTCCCTAGGAAAGACTGAGCCCTGCCCCCAGCCCTCGTGCATAAATAATGAAAAAAGAAGTATTGAATGGGAAGATAAACACATTAAGAAATTACCAGTGTAATATAGAGAGCAAACACAAAACGGCAAGCTAAGGTGTAGGGAAGATAGAATAAGGAGGTCTAGTGTAAGATTATTAAGAATTTCAGAAGGATAAAACAGAGAACTAGGGAGAGCCCTATATTTAAAAATATGTCTTAGAATTTCCCAAAATGGTGAGAAGCTCAAATTTAGGAAATAGTGCCAAGCAAGATAAATAAAATGAACATTTAGACACATTAAGAACCCTTAAGACAAAGATAAGCACTTAAAATAACCAGGTATAAGAGATTGTATGCTAGAAATAAAAACACACAGCAATTACCCCAAATTCTTCAACAATGAAAACCAGAAGTCAGTAGAATAAGGAAACAGTAGACTATAGTAAAGCATAGAGTCAAAACCAAAATCCTTAGCATCCTCAGTTGGTTGAAGATGTTATTATTAGACCGAATTGTATGTCCAGATAAACTTTAAAGAATGAGAACAAAACATTTATAGGAAAGAAAAAATTACCATCAAGACTGTCACTGGAGAAACTTGTAAAGAGTGTACCTCAAGGAGGAGGAAAATTATCTTAGAAGAAAGGTCTGAAATAAAAGAATGAAATGTGAGAAATATAAATATGTAGGTGAATCTAAATATTAATTATATAAATCATGAAAATGTCTAATTTGGGAAATGAAAACCAAAGTGACTAAAATGTTCAACGATAGTGTTTAAGGAATGAGAGTTATCAGAATTTAGTTGTAAGTCTCGTGAAGTATTCATGTTAAAACTTTTAGCATAATTGCTAAATGAATAAAAATACAATATATAATTTCAGAAACCTTTGAAGGTAAAATAGAATGTAAAAATTTACTCTATCCCAAAGAGGATAAGAAAGGAGAAAAATACTGAATAGTATGGCAGAAGTTCTACTTCCAGCAGCCTATGCAGACAAACTCTTGATGAAGACAGTTAAAAAAATACTTGTGTAACAAGTCTCCCCCAAACTCAGCAGCTTAAAGCACAGATGTTTACCATCTTACTATCTGTGGGTAAGGAATCTGGAAGCAGGCTAGCTTGTTCTGGTTCTAGCTCAGTGTCTCTTATGAGATAGAGGCAGAGTTAGCTGAGAATCTAGTTCCAAACTCACTCGTGGGTAACAAGCCCTGATTTCTTACTGGCTTTTGGCTGGCGGCCTCTGGATGGGCCTGTTTACAGGATGGAAACTATGATGCACTGGGATGGGTCTTTGCAAAGGTGTAAATACACAGAAATTAGTGGGCATTACATGTCTGCATACCTATTTCTAGATACATAGATATACAGATGAATTTTTTATGTAGCAGTATGCTCATATCTATAATATCAAGTCAGAGCTTGCAGAGGCTGTGGACCCCGTTATCTCGTAAATAACTTTTGCTCTAGTCAGCATTTCAAAGGGCTATGCCCCTAAGAAGTGAGGGTGAGTTGGAAGATCTTACAGTCTACAACCTGACTTTTTTTCATTTTGGCCAAAGGAAACCTCAAGTTTTGAACTTGGAATTAAGGAACTCTGTTGCCTATAGGCATCAGGCAGAAAGAAATATCAATTCTCTCTAGAAGAAGAAAATATCAGCATAGGCCTCAATTATTTCTACAACTAAGGTTTTCAAATAAAACATTCACTGAAGAAAGAAAGGCAATTAGATCTATATGCCTAAGAAGGAGCAGAAGCAAGAAAGAACTCATAGGGACTCCAGGTTCTAGAATTATCAAACTGACTGAAATATTTGCTTATTCTCTAATAATAGCCAGTATATCCACACTGAAAAAAAAATTTAAAGGCTGTACTTTAGACCAATGGAGAATGATTACAAGTTGAGATTATTAGAGATGAAGGAAGAAGTCAAGAGCAACAAGAGGCTGACGCTAAATGAACACTTTTAATAATCATAGTGTTTGTAGGTGAAATATAGGTAACAGCAATAGCATATGTCATAGACCGGAAAATAGAGTTAAAAGTCTAAAATGTTTGCATTTTCCAGGGAGAGTGTATATCTTAGCTTCTAGGGAAACTAGTAGGATAATTCAAAAAAACTTTAAAAAGTACATTTTCAGAAATAATGGAATAATTGGAATGGTAATTTCACTGCAGGCAAGAAAAAAAGAGGTAAAATAACTTAGGCAGGAAAAATAAACACACTTTAAGATGATAAAATCCATATAGATTTGTTTTTCCTTAAGTATAAATAAGCAATCAAATAAATTAAATACAATTAAATCTAATTATGAGAAATACCTCTAGGTTAGATGACAAAAATTGAAATGTTTGCTCTTTCTAAAAGATACATCTAAAATATAAGAACGCAAAAGGTTTAAAAGAGTGGACTAATACAACAAGAAGCACCTGCAAAAAGATCAAGAAAAGCACTAAAAATTCATTGGAAAAATAACAAATCTTGTAGACACTGAAAATTTTATTGAAAGTTTAGACCAAGTGAAAAATCCCTTGAAAAATAAAAATGATCAAAACTAATAAAAGAATAAAAAGTAAATTTTAATAGTATTAGAACTGTTAAAGAAATTTAATTAATAATTTAAAAACTTCCCACAAAGGAAATTAAGCCCAAATGGCTCCAAATGGTGAGTTACACCAAATAAAGAACTAATCCCAGTAACTTCAGTAAATTCCTGTAGAATTTAGAGTATCTTGTTACAACTAAGTTTAAAATATGTCCTTATTTCCCCACATCTATCTATTATGTGACTAGACTCACTCAATAAGTGATTTAAATAGGATATGACAGGAATAGCCACCCTGCCACATTCAATCTTTGATGCTGGCACTCATACCTGTATGCTTTCTTCATCTCCTCCCCTGAGATGTGGAATTGACTTTATTTGGGATGGTGGTAGTGGGACAACGTCAAAAAATTGCACTGGCCCTTTCTTTATTAGTTAGGGAGCCAAAACAGGAGACTGCCATTTATGTAGTTATGTATTCCAAAGCACACTCAAGAATTGAAGTAATAGCCCAGCATGTCTATATTCCTGTTGGAAGCACCAAGAGGAAAACCTTAATAAAACCCTCTAAGTCTTCTCCACCAGCTGGTGGGTTGCAGAGGTTTTCTGGGCCTCAGGGGATTAGTATTAACTAAGAACCAAGGCTTGATCTTAAAGTAAATATGCATTTCCTTTTCTGAATTGCATAGTTATCCCTTAGATCTGTTTGTGAAAGGTTAGGTGGAAGATTTAGAATAGACCTTGTTATTTGCCAGGTCTTTCCTACCTTATTAATCAGTTTTACCCTCCTAGCTGTACTCAAGATTTGTGGCCTAAATCTGGTCTGAGCTTTGGTACAGGAATATGAAACTTTTTAGCTGTAAGGTTTCTGTTGTACAGATTAGATAGTATGCTGCTTCTCGGTTTCAATTCTAAATATCCAAAGTTCACCACTGATTAATTCAAAGTTAACCACTGCTAGGGAACTCTCTGGATCAAGTTGCTCTGATCACCCTGCTGTTGTATTGCCCTAGTATAATAGCCATTCCCACTGGCCTCTGACAAGTTAATTGTGAGCCTGACCTATACCAAGTGGGATTCTTGCCCTTGCTAGTTGCTGGGTGCCTCACTGTTGGTAACCCTGACTTCCTGAACTCCTGTCAGTGACATCACTGAGAATCTCTCTCCTCCTAGGATCCTGACTGACACAAACATTTATTCCCCGTTTCAGAAGGTACCCTGTCCTCAGCTATGTGTCGGTAGAGTGAATTCCCATCACCAGCATGTAGTTTTGTGCCTGAAGGGAAAGTGCAAAAATAAAACCCCAAATTCCTGTACTAAAGGGTTGCATCTTCCTAAGTTTGTTCTTTGGAATTCTTGCCGGATATGCTTGTTGTCATACTTCCAGATATATAACATATTAAAGGCTATTATGAATACTGTGACTAAGTCAGGTGATTATTTCCCTCAGTTTTCTTCAATATATTTTACCTGTTAACTTTTTGCCTCCTATAGTGTCTATTATAATTAGTGTTACAGAATAGTTTGGAAAAACATTCCCTAATTTTTGTCAAGAATAGTTTTAAACAATGGTGCGCCAAAATGACGTTATGAAACAAAAAATCAAAAGAAATCTCAACATTCATAGCAATTCTTCATGAACTTTCCTTGGTAAACTATGTCTAAAATGTACCTCTTTGTACATTAAGAGTTGACTTGCTTTTTGTAGTTGACTAACTCTTGATGGCATTTTAAAAAAAAATTCTGTTGGCTTTCGAATAATTGATACCAAGATATCAGCTTCAGTCTGTGTTCTCCTTAATTTCATGTGTTGAAATCCTAACCCCCAAAGTTACTAAGAGGCGGGCCTTTGGGAGGTGATTAAGTTAGGAAGGCAGAACCCTCATGAATGGGACCTGTGCCTAGAGAGAGCCTCTCTAGAGGAAGAGATTGGCTCTTCCCCATGGGAGGTCACAGTGAGAAGAGGCTGTCTGTGAGGTAGCATAACCTGCCTGACACCAAGTCTGTAGGCACCATGACCTTGGACATCCCAGCCTCAGAATCTGCAGAAATAAGTGTTTATTGTTTAGAAGCCAATTAGTTTGTGTTTTGTTACTATTGTGGTAGAAGTCCAAATGGATGAAGACACCATCCTTACTGGCCACAATTAGAACTGCTGTACTATTTTATCTGCATAAAAAACTGTTTCATTTTTTTTGGTTGGTTAAAGTAGATACCCAGTGTAGAATGCCTGCATGTAGAACATTTTGGGTTTCATCTTTTTAGTGATTTATTTTATCTACATATTTATATAAAGGAACAGGGCTTACACATTTACTTTATGAAGGGACTATAGCTTGTAGTGCTCTCCACTCCCTCAATTAACTGGACCTTTTGAGTTTTATCTTTTGTACTTGAAATGATCTTGTACAGACATTTACAGAAAATGACAGTGTTCACATATGTATTTTTATTAAGTAAACTTGTGTAGACATCCACCAATTTATTATTTTTTTTCCCAAATAACAACCCTTGAACAACACATGGTTTTGAAATGCATGGGTCCATTTACAGACTGTTTTCAATCTTTCCTCATCTCCCTCCTGCTCCGCAGCCTACTGAATGTGAGGACTATGAGGATGGAGACCTTCATGATGCTCCGCTTATGATTTTCTTAATAACATTTCCTTTTCTTTAGTATACTTAATTGTAAGAACACAATATATAATGCATATACAAAATATGGTCAAAATCAAACTATTAGTGGTAAAGTTTTTGGGAAGTCAAAAGTTACATCAAGATTTTTGACTGCATGGGGTTGATGCCCCAACATCCTGTGTTGTTCAAGGGTCAAATGTATTCATTGTTGTCAATCAGTGATTTAAAACTTGTACATATTGCTTCTCATGATTTTGGAAAATTTTCTTGGAGTATAATTAGACAATGAGATTTAAAGACTAAACATTCTTCTGGTACTAGTATTTTATTGCCAAATTGTTAATCTTTTTAAGATGTCAGATCACCACCTCTTCTGATTTCTCTGAGCAGTTCTTAACTTAAATTCCCAAAAACATAAACCTCATTAACTAGGTCATGGTAGAAACAAGGTCATACTAGAAAAGAGACTCCAGCAACAAGGGAGAAATTCTGTTATATTTTTTCTTGCAAGCGGCTGGGTTTTGAAGGGAAGGATGAATGTCTCAATGATAGAAATAATAGGAATTAAAGCCATAGAATTGGTGTTTCATTCCTGAGTCATCCTTAACCCTAAGATCATTATGGTCTTCTAGAATTGATTTGTAGAACTGCTTTTGTGCACCAGTTTTTGAAAATGAGTTCTTAAGCTCCAGTAGGTCAGTCTGTGGCTTGGTCACTCCAGTTCTAGGAATCCAATCCAGGTTAGGTCTTGCTTCTTCGTTGTTTTCCATATTCAAAGTCAACTGTTCTTCTGGTTCATTTAAAAAATGTTCTAAGTCCAAAGCTGCTGAGTCTGATTTATTGTGTAAAACATTAGGCTTACTAAGACTAACAGAGTTTTGACATATAGCATACGGATCATGCATGGTAGATTTAAGGTGGTCATACTGGATGTAATGGTTTGGGTTACAGTATGTTACAGGTTGCGGTTTTAGTGACAGCTGTCTCCAGTACAAGTCTTCTGTCTTTTTAGTGTCTGTGATTTTTGGAAGTGATTTTATATCATAAGTGTTAGTCAGACCTTTTGTTTCGTAACAGGATGGGAGTGTATAGGTAGACAGCAAGTGTTGTTCTTCCTTAATCTTGTCTTCAATTGCCTGGTTTTTATGGCTCACACCCGCCGGTGTATTATCTCTAAGTGCCATCATTTCAGTAGAACTGGGTATAAAGGTATGAAAATTACACAAAACTCTGGGGGTACAATCTGGACAGGAAGGTTGTTTTTGCTGTAGAGTAGCCTGCAGAGGACGTCGGTTCTGACTTAATCGGGCAATTCGTCCTTCCAAGGGTCTGGATGGTTTTAAGACAGAGTGGAATTTTTCTTGCTGTAGCCATGAGATAAAAAGGAGAAAGTCAATTAGTTAGTACATCTAGCATTGTCGGGTATTGCCACAAATGGCATGTCCAAAGTCAGACGCATTTTCACTGTTTGAGTGGACAGAGTATGCATGTAGCAGTGTACACTGAAGTGTGTGATGATGCTTATGGGTCATATCAAACACATGATTTTTACCCCCTGGTGCTTCCTGCTAGTATAGAAAGAACATATTTTCATTTGGCTGTAGAAAATTCCTCTATGTAGTAACTCATTGCTATCAAACTTTTATGTAGATGAAAGAATCACTGGAACAAAACTGCTGTCTACCACCCGCAGATGATATTAACAGTTATTTAAATCTCAGCCACAGGGTTTATTACACCAACGCAAGTTTTCTTCAGCTCCGATTGTCAAATCAGAGTTGGAGCTGGGAGAAAATGAGATTCCTAAGCTTGATTCTAGAGGCTGTGATGCAGAAGGCCTGCAGTAGGGCTCAGGAATTTGCTTTTTAAAAAACATCTTATGTCCCTCCCTGGTGGCGCAGCGGGTTAAAGCACAGCACTAAGAAACTTAAGCCACTTCTGCTTGAGTTCGATCCCCGCCTGCCCGGGAGGAGATCCACATGGCGCGGCAGACCTCTCCTGACCTGCCCGCCACTCCCCTCAGCGGTGTACCTCGTAGATCTGCCTGTTCTGCTCCCCGTTCTGTGAGTGGTGAGTCCACTCACCATCCCTGCACCACGGGCCTGTACCCTAGCTCTGTATGCATAAATAAATAAATCTTTAAATAAATAAAATAAAAACTCACAAGATTTGTGCAATATCACTGAATGTATATTTTACCTTAAAAGAAAAAACTGCAGTCAAATTAAACTTTGGTTAATAATATGCATACTGAGTGTTCAGGAGAGAATACTGATGCTTGAATTTTACTCTGAAATGCATAGAAATAAAGTTTATTGATGGTAAAAGGGATAGAAAGATGGATATTTCATGTGATTAAAATAACTATTATAAATGCTAATGGTTTAACCTAGGTGAGGAGTATATGGGTGTTCAAGTATGTTTGAAAATTTTTATACTAATAAATTGAAGAAAAAAACAAAAAAAGACAGTGATGGAATGATAGCAGAGGTGATAAAAACGAGAATGGTGAGAAATAATAACTATGGTTTGGACTTAGAAAACAAAATGGACTTAGGAACATCCTTTAAAAATCTACTGGTTCAAAGTTGTAGGAATTTCTATATTGTTTTAGCAAATTTGTTTAACTTAGTTAAAGCCTTAACTAATCAGGTCTGGGTAAATGCTATAAAACCACCCTCCTCCCCAGCTCTTTGAAAAGCTGTTAAATTTGTCACAAATACAAAAAGTATAGGGTTTTGTACTTTTTTTTGTATTGTATTCTCTATCCTTTACTTATCCTACTTATACAAGAAGCAGCTTTTCGTAGCTATTTTATTTTACTACTATAAAATATTTCATATGCCTTCCCCAAGTCCATTATTTGTTTGAGTTAGAAAGAGCAAGATTCATTTAAACCTTTAGAAGAAGTCCCAATGGCTTTAGGCATATTATATATTGTTATTAATAAAAATTTAGGTGTTCATTTACTTGAATCATAATTTTACACATAATGCACTTGACAAGTGTCCTCTGTATAATGGAACATATATTCCTTTGTAAGAATGATAAAGTGCATTCTAAGAGCTAGACAATGTCAGGGTATGTAGACAGTCTTGTCTGGCCTTAGAGAACGCAAGTGAAAAAAAAAAAAAAAAACTAAAAGCCCTTCCAAATGATAAAGCACGGTCTCTGAAGCTATCAGTCTTACCATTTTCTGTTGCTTTGGGAAATACTGCAAGTACTGTGAAATGAACGTGCTTAAGTTTAAAAATGCAAATTAAAATCTCTTATAGCTGTTTTTTACATTTCCACAATTTGCATTTTTGAAAAAATTAATGTCTCACTAACTTTGCAGTTTTAGAGGTTAAAATTAAGGGTCAAATAAAACAATACAAATATATCCTACTAGATCATTTTTCATAATTTTACTACTACTAACTCATTTATGTAATTAAGGCAAAAGATTATGATTTTTATTAATAAAGGGTTTGATTATTTAAAGCCCATTTAATTAGTTAAGAAACCTCTACTGAGGGAGGGCAAGGGCAAAGAATTAAAGTAGTATAAGGGATGGTGGCGAGAAAAAAGAATATTATTGACATTCATTTGCAGAGAATTTATTGGCTTTTGATTATAATTCAGCCAATTCTCAATTATTGTGGCTCTCAGGAAGAAGCCTTTATCTTTTCAAAAAGCAGTGAAAATGTACAGGATATACAATTATGCAAAACATCAGAAAATTAATTAGGAATCACATTAATGAAATGCATTAACTTAATGAGATTCTTAATGTACTTGTAAACCAATTCCTTCCTAAATTTTAGCAACACATTTAGCACAGTAGAAAATCCATTAAAAAGACCTTAGCACCCTAATGAGAAAGATCTTGCTTTGTTTCAAATAATGTATAAGCATATTCAAATGAGGTCAGATCAATTCATAATTAACTTTCAAAATGAGTTAAATTTTCCTTTTGCTTGTTTAGTCACCAATATTCATGAAGCAAGTAAAAAGTGGATAAAACAAAAGGCCAACAACTGATACTTTCCTCCTGAATAACTGAGAGCTGACTTACCGGTTCTGGGTCAAATCCTATCTGTCCAGTGAGCTCTGCTACCTCCTTTTCATGGTAATCATCCAGTTCAAGAGGATTCATCGGTCCCTGACCTTGACAGAAACATCACAGCATATTATTTACTAGAATAAATGAAGAATGGTACCTAAATGACTTTTTATAGAAACGCTTAACTATTCCCTTTATAATTTAATTCGAACCAATAAAATGAAAGCCAACTTCACTTCCCAGTTACTTGCTTAGAGAAACTTACTACTCTCCTTAATTTCTGTTTGTACTTTTATTAAGACACAGGGAAAATATTAGAAGATTAAAATTAACAATATTACTTGCAAATATTCCAATTTTGCTTTTTTATTACTTGCATAAAATGCATTCATACCTGTAAAATCACTATTGTATGAAGTGATCCAGTGGGACCGCTCAAGATTTCTTTGTATGTTGGCTTCTTTTAGAGAGTTAACAGGATCCCACGAATTTAAAGAAGTGTTAGGCGCGAAGGTTTTAGGAGGTTTGGGGTAGAATACTGGCTTGTGTTTCCCAACACATTTAGGGAACTAGAATATAAATGTAAAAAATTATTGATATTAACATCCTATGGTAGAATAGGGTTAATTCACTCAGCAGTAAGAGAGGCAAAGGACATTCTGGCTGAAGTCAGATACTATGTTTCTCTTCATTATCTACTAATTTCCTATAACTGCTACTATATTTGGAATTAAGCATAATATTTTAAAAGGAATGGTGAGGTCTTTTCTAAAAGTCTTTGCTTGGGCAAAGACTCTGGAAATATCCATTGAAGCAATGTTCCTGGCAATACTTTATCTTCCAAGGAAATTTTGTTAGAAATACAAATAACTCTAAGTGCTCCTTTTACTAAATTTAATCAAAACTGTGTGCCTCCCACTTTGTCTTCCCATTGTATGAATTTCTGATGACAGTTAAGTCACTCATATTCAAATAAAATTTTTCATTCTGTAGCCACCACTGCTTCATAAAGTATAGATGTAAAAGTAACTGAGTGAATATATTTCATTGCAGTCTTCTTTGGTTTTAGAATTTCATTTTTCCTCAGAGTGATAACATTCAATAAATATTTTCTGAGCACCTATACGTGCAAGGTAGTAGCAAGAAACAAGGATGGATCACAAACAAATCTTGCCATCCAGGAGTGTGTTGGCCAAAGAGGAAATAAGGCACAAGTGAACACAAATGATGAGAAGTAACTCTTTGTTATAAAAGGAGTTAAGACAACAGAGGAGGGAAGAGGTTGATTCTAGTTGAATGTGGAGTGGGGCTGAGAGCAGAGAAGGCAGAGAGAGGCCTTGAATGACATGCACTGATGGAGCAGGTAAAGGGACAACAGGAGTAAAGACATGCATAAAAGTATGGAATGAATGTTTCTTGAACAACATGCACTTGTTGCTCTCACAGTCAGGCTTACCCTTAATGTCTGAAGGACCTGACCTAGAAGATGATGAGAGCCCACATTCCATTCATCTAGCTAGTGTAATTTATAAATCAAGCAAATAAACTTGAATCAATAAAATATGTTCCATTCTCCTATCTTATCAAAATGCCTCTGAACAATCTGGAGGACCAGCTCTGATTTAGACTTTTTAGACTACTTCAAGTTCTGCATTGGCCATGGGGTTTAGAAAGAGGCAGCCACTGGCCCATCTTCAGCACCTCTTACTGCTTTCTTCCTCACCCCAGTTCCACCCCAAGCTATGATGGAGCTTATGTCTTGCCTGTAGGGGTAACCTAACTCTGAAATTCAAAACTCCTTTACATATTACGTCCACTTTGGCTATACAAATATGTAAACATGGAATGGTTTCTTGAATAACTTCTTATATTTCTGTGTTGCTTAGATATAGATATTTTTCTTGAAAGACTGAAAGAAATCAGTAAAATAGATGATTCTCCAAGGTTTTTTCTTGACATAACGTTTCAAATTAAAAAGCAGGCAATTGCCTAGCTCATTGCAACATCCAAACTCTGGTCTACCACAGTGGTTCTTCCCCAGCAAAATTCAAGTATTTCCAGTCTTCCATAGTAATTTCTTGCCTACTTAAGAGACTGATTAAGGCAAGGAGAGAATACTATTTATTCCATAACAATACCATATTTCCCTTAGTCTCTTGGCATTGCTTAGCTATTATTATTGTCAAATGTCTAGATATTTTCCTTTATGAGCTAGAATTTTCCCTTTTTACCCATGTGAAGTCCTAGTATGTGGTAGGAGCAGAGACTGGTATCACACAAGCCTGAGTTCTCTGTGAGTCAGTCACTACTCTCTGAGCCTCAATTTTCTCATCTTTAAAGTGGGAATGATGATATTAACCTTTTGAGATTGCTGTAACAGGCAAATAATATACTATCTCTAAAGTGGCTAGAGTATAGCAACTTGTGAGTAAATGGTAGCTATGATTTGTTTATTTTTTGATTGTACATAAATATAATAGTAGATATAATAACTTGCAAATCTTTCTGAAAATCTCCCATTGATGATGCATATTTGGAGTTGACTGATATATATATAATAAATCAGGAATAAGAGTTGGGTTAAGTGAAAGGAGAAAGGCAAACACTATAATTTCACTCGTGTGTAAGATAATGAAAGCAAATGAATAAACAAAATCTTAGATACAGAGGACAGATTTGAGGTTACCAGTAGTTAAGGGAGTTGGGGGTAAATGGGTCAACTGTATGGGGGGAATGAAACCTAGATTTTTGATGGCAAGCGTAGTGTATGTATAGAAGGAAAATTATAATGCTTTGCATGTGAAACTTACATGTTAAATACCAATTTTATCTCAATAAAAATGTATTAATAAAAAAGTTGGGGGGATACAGTCCTTCATGTTTTTTTGGGGGTATCTTATTGGAAATGTTACATAGTTGCCAAGGGTATGTAAAATCAGCTAAGAAAACAGAAAATATGTATTGTGGTCAGAATCTCAAAATTTTCATCTAGATATAAAATAAAAACAATCCATTTTAGATTTTTATGAATTATAGAATCAAAATATTTTTACTTTGTTTTAAACATACACTTTCAGAGTTACTTACATCATAATATACACCCTGACCTGGCCACGTCAAGGCTTTCTTCTTTGAGTCCATGGGAAAATCAAGCAGTTCATATCTGTAAGGATTACCTGAAAATTTCAGGAAAAACACTGTAGTCCTGGCTATGCAACAATAATCTCCTAATTAATGGATTTTATTGGTGGAGTAAGTAGAACCAAGATAATAGGAGGTAAAGAATAATGCATGTACACATTATAGTTATATAGTTTTAGCTTGTTTGAATTCTTGCCCCATAAATGAGCAGCATGTGGGCAACACAGAGTGAGAATATGTCTCATCTCTAACCCTAATACTATCAGGTGTAGGAGGAGCCATTAGTACTGCATCTTTCTTGCTAGTGAAAGGAATTTCTAGATAAATTAGAAATTTTTCTGGATCCTCTCTATGGTTGCTGAAGGCTCAGCAATGCATTTCTGCACTGTTTTGGGCTTCCCTCCTAAGTGCCAGGAAATGGAGTTAGTACTAGATTATTAAAGTGGTATTGAAAGAACATTTTTTTTTATTAAAAAGTTTATTTTTACATCATTTTGCACATTTTTTTTCATCTCAATTGTAATCCCCATGGGTTTCCCATCACCAAATCACCCCTGTGCCACCACCATAGTCCCGTGCATTTCCCTCCCTTCCCCCCCCCCCGTTTTTGATCCCATTCCCCACTCCACCCCCACAGAATGTCTCTGGTCTATGGTTGTTCATTATTTTTGTTATTTTCTCGCCTGGTCCATTATACTCCTACTATGAGTGAAACCACCCGGTATTTTTCTTTCTCTTTCTGGCTTATCTCACTAAGCATGATCTTTTCCAGCTCCATCCAAGTTGCTGCAAAAGACATGTGTTTCTCTTTTTTGGTTGCTGAGTAATATTCCATTGTATATATGTACCACATCAGAAAGAACATTTTAAAGAATAAAGTTCCTTAGGTATTGTGGTATTTGACAAGTTTTATCAAACACACCATGGTATCCTGTGGTCCTATGATAAGTTCACTCTACTGTCTAGATACTTAGGTGGGTTATTAATGATGGCAGTATTCTATTGCTACATTTGGGTGAAACATTCATGTATAGAGGAACTGCATTGTAATATACTTCTTGGGCCTTAGTTCAGCCTAAATTCATTCAACAAGTATTTATCTCTGCCTACCTTGTACCTTCTCTGTCACCTTAGGTTACCTTCTGTATAGTAACTTCAGTCTTTATGGGTTTCTTTCCTGTTTTGAGGTGTATAGAGTGGGAGAGGCTTGATGACTGGCTATGGACTTATCATCCTCTCTAATAAAGCTCATCTGGGAAGACCCCAAAGATAATATATTTGAGATGATGCCCCTTCAAGGTGTTAGGAGGACCTGAACAAACTGCTCCCATTACTTTCTGAGTCTTATTTCAATGATAATCTCCTAGTTTATCACAGATGCTTGCCCACATCTGGACTCTGATCCTGGGAACGCAGCTTTGCCCCTTGTGCTGATCACCTGAGCTAGGCTAAAATTCTCAAAAGCTAACCATAAGAGGGAGTAGGAAGGCAGTTGAAATAGAAAATACAAGTAGACTAAAAACAATTCCACAATGTTAGGTTTCTGTTTCTACCTTGGGGATTCCGTATAAAGAATAAAAGTTAAGTGCATCTATATGAACATCATCAACAACAAAAAAAGTTAAGTGCATCTGCCTGAACTGGTCTATAAAGAAACTGACCCATTGGGTCTGTGGTGGGGCCCCAGGTGGCTCCAAAGTGCAGCCCCGAGCTGAGAACAACTTTCCTAATCCACTAATGGATCACATTTTTGTGACCTGAATCTTTGTGCTACTTTATTATCAAATAAGCCCCAAAAGTAAGAATTAATACTGGTTTTGATTTCAAATCATGTTTACCTCTTGTCTTCAAAACTGTAGTATCATAAGCCTTTGTTGGCACAGTGGGAGGAAATGGCTGATGGCTTCGGGCTTTAATGCCAGTGTAGAGCTCCTTAGGTGATGTGAAGGTTGGGAACATGGCACCACGGGAGATGTGTGTGTGATAGGGGTGTTCAATTGGATACAGGGAACAGATTTCTCTGTTAGTTGAGCAAAAAACAAAACAACACACACACACACAAACAAAAGAGAACAGAAGGAAGTACAATTAAAAACATCAACTATCAATATTTATTGGGACCCTTTTTTTGTGGCAGGTACTCTTCTACTCCTTGGAGATATGACAGTGAACCAAAGTTTCTATGATATTCTTAGAGTTAGTATTTGGGTGAAACATATGCCACAAAATGATATTGTCTTAATTTTGCTAGATAAATACAAATACATTAATTTTTTAATGAAATGAATCACATCAAATCCTTAACAGTGGATAAATTTCCTAACTGGTAGAGTATTATAAGACAGAAGATATGTGATTGTCATAGTTTTTTTTAGATGATACAGGAGGAGTTTCTAGTTGTTTTCAGTTCCTGCCTCTTGTTTTAAGTGGACTTCAGATCTTTATTTTTGGAATAATTTTGGGCATTCAGCTTCTGTATTCCATGATCTCTAACTGTCTTGGATTGAACTTTCAACCTAGGCTCTGTTTCTTTAAGCAATCAATCAACAAAGTACACTGTAACCTGTTTATATACATAATGCTATGTAGAAATAAAAAAGCCAAAAGTAACTAGTATACTGAAGGGGGAAAAAAGACGTTAGAAAGTCTACAGAGATGGGCCCTCCCTGGTGGCGCAGCGGGTTAAAGCACAATACTAAGAAGTTTAAGCCACTTCCCCATGAGTTCGATTCCCGCCTGCCCCGGAGGAGATCCACATGGTGCGGCAGACCTCTCCTGACCCACCTGCTGCTCCCCTCAGCAGTGTACTTCCTTGATCTGCCTGTTCTGCTCCCCTCCCTGTTTCTGGTGAATCCTCTCACCCTCCACATCTCTGGCCTGTACCCCAGCTTTATATGAATACATAAATAAATCTTTTTTTTTTTTTTGAAAAAAAGTCTACAGAGATAATTTTACTGGCATTAAAAGAACTGGCAGGGATTTTTTAAGAACTCTGAAAGCTATCTAAATTAGAAGAAAATTGAGATTAGGCAGTGCATGGGCTTGATAAATGTTATATATAATTAAAATATTACGAGGAAAAAGCAAGACCAGCATTATAGTTGAATCTGTTAGTAACTGTGGGTGGTATATTGACTATGAAATAGTGAGGATAATTTGTATAAGGAACACATTTTTAAAATATCTAATTTCTTTTCTACTTTATGACTTTACAATTCCCAAAATTTTTGTTTGGTTCATTTTGCCACATATTCTCAGTGTCATTTAAATCAAGGTATGGGAAGAAACAGCTTCATGGAACAAAGGAAAAATGGCAAAGGTATTTATTAAAATATCTTAAATTATATCATGAAGCTTTAAGTCCAGATCCAGTTCTCAATGTGTCACCCAATTGGTAACTAACATGCTTGAGGGCCCAGCCCCAGATCTAGGCCCTACTGTGTACCCAGCATGCTGATGCAAACCTGCAATGAATTCAGCGGCCTTGGCATCATGTGGGTTCTCTGAGATACCTAGAGGCTCAAGGTTCTCAGCAAATTCCTAGTTATTTCCTATAGATATTATAAGAAATTAAGATTGATTTGCAAGAGAAAAGGCTGACTCCAGGTAAAGTCATTTATGAAGCCTACTCTTTGTGTAAAAGTATTCAGAATTCTTACCATTGTCACAAACTGTTATCTAACACAATTCTGAATTACATATATAGCTTTTTTTTTTAATATTTATTTATTTGTGCATACAGAACTGGGGTACAGGTCAGAGACTCAGGGGTGGCGAAAGACTTCACCAGAGACAGAATGGGGTGCAGAACAGGCAGATCAACGAAGTACACTGCTGAGGGGAGCAGCGGGTGGGTCAGGAGAGGTCTGCCACGCCATGTGGTCACCTCCAGGGCAGGCGGGAATCGAACTCATGTGGAAGTGTTTTCAGCTTCTTAGTGCAGTGCTTTAACCCGCTGCGCCACCAGGGAGGGCCACATATATAGCTTTTTAAAAAAGTTATTAATTACTGATTGCTTCTCAAGTTAATTTACCTTGCTTAAAATGTGCCATATCAAGCACTGCACCACATGGTATGTGTGAGCTTGTCAATTCTGTGATGATGTGAGGACTCAGAATTGGGGTATTCCTGAGTCTTGCCTCCTGACATCCCTCATGGTTGTGTAAAGACTAGTGTAGTAACTTCTCTTGCAATGAAGTATAATACTGGTTGTACTTCATTTTATATACTACATATTGAATTTAATTTGCTCTAAAAAATATTTCAATGTCCAATTCTATGGATTCTTGGATTCTATAGTAGACTGGCCCCTGGAATTAATTTCCCCTTACAAATCTTCTTAAAAGTAAGTAAGCATGTATAGTTTGAGCGACTGTCTTACATATATCATAGACATATAATTTAGAAGCCAACTTAAAGAATTCCCCCTGACCAATTTGTTTGAATTTCCCCATAACAAATATAAATAATATATGATTACTGCTATTCATCATGTTCCAAAGTACAAAGTAAATCTCCTTGAATGCATATGATACAAATAAGTGACTGAATATATAAATAAAGAAATGCCGGAGAACAGACAAATCTGTGCAGAAGAATGCGTGATAATTTAGGTGGGTACTCTGTCTTCAAGGAAGTGGAGCATAATTCCATACTCAAGTATGAACTGTCCAAGTGACTTTCTCCTAAAGAATATAGTATAGTAAGGAGGTAAAAGAAGATTAACTATGCAGTGTTAAACCTGACAAATACTACCTCAGCTAGGTAATCAAGGCTAAAGTCAACAGCGATAAGTTGTACTGGTGATATGGCCACTTGACAGGATATGATGAAAATGGAGCTTTACCTTTGTGGTTTTCCTCCCTGACGTCCATTAGCTCAGTAATTGTAAGACAAATAACATACATCCCAATTGGGAGGCATTTTACAAAACACCTGGTCGGTAGTTCTCAAAACTGTGTAGATCATTTAAAAAGAAAAAAAGACTGAAAAAGTGTCACAGCCAAAAAGAACCCAAGGAGACAAGACCCTAAATGTAATGCATCCTGGATGGGATCCTGGAATAGGTAAAGGACAGTGGGGAAAAACTAAGGAAATATGAGTAAAATATGATCTTTAGTTAAGTGTAGTATAGCAACACTTACTCGTTGTGATAAATAACCAAACTCATGTAAGATGTTAATAACAGGGGAAACTGGGTGTTGGGCTGTTGGAACTCTGAGCCATTGCTCTAGCAATGCTGCAAAACTGTACTAAATTTACTTTATGAAATATCAGCAGGGATTATAACTGGGGGAAATCAGTAATACCATTGCCTTGAATTTGTACCAGTCTCTCCTCCTACTTGTTAAACAATTTTTTTAAAAATGATAAGTCTCATTTATCCTCACACTATCTTGAACAGATGGAATGCAATTTTTTTCTTCATTATAGCAGGGAAGGATAATATAAGTTATATACTTACTCTACTGTTGAACTAGGTGGTTTGGGCATCCTAGAATAAAAACAGGAACAAATTGGTTTATATTAGGAAATTTTAAAAACTTACACTGTTTTTAAAAACTTGCTTAAGAATGTATCCCATTTTCAATTTTTTTTTCTCTTTAAGATATTCTTGATTTACTTTCTGAAACACTGAATATTGATGAGGGACAGAGCGATACCATCACATTTCAGCTGTCTACTGATCGTCATTTCTCATTCTACTTATTCAACTTAAGTGAATTTAAAAAGAAAATTTAAAATTTAAAAAAAAGACTGAAAAAGGATACATAGCCAAAAGCAACCCAAGGTGTCAAGACCACTAAATGTAATGTATCCTGGGTGGGATCCTGGAATAGGTAAAGGACAGTGGGGAAAAACTAAGGAAATATGAGTAAAATATGATCTTTAGTTAAGTGAAGTATATAGCATTTTGTATGTTTTATTCACAGCACAGGCACAACACCTTGTGCTTGTAATGATAAGAGCTCTCTGCTTCTCACTGACACCCACCCCAATAGTGAAGTAGGAGCCAAAGGGCTCTGAGGCAGCTTGTCACCATGCAAGTGGTGCAATACATGACCCAAAGTGACCTGAGTGTGGCCTCGTTACTGCATGTTCTTTGTCCCTTTGCCCAGAATTACTGGTCTTTCTCATAATAGTAAATGTGGCCCAGTTGATGGAGAGGCTAGAATAAAACTGAATAAATTCATAGAGGCATGCCTTTTCTGAATACATTCATTTTGAGGTTGTTAATTTGCTAATTAATTACTCTGGGCCCTGAATGCCAAGAAGTAATACTGTAATCCAGGAATAAAATCCATACTAGAGAGGGATTATCATCCACTTAACACTGATTTTTCAACAACCAGTTTCAGTCTGAAAATATTTCTGAATGATTTCAGGGATAAAAAATGAACAGAATGTACACAGGGGTGATTTGGTGATGGGAAACCCATGGGGATTACAATTGAGATGAAAAAAAAAATGTGAAAAATGATGTTAAAATAAACTTTTTAATAAAAAAAAAAAAATGAACAGAATGTTACTAGTTGATAGTAAAGATCAGTAAAATTGAACACACTGTTTAATTTTCCTTCTACTTAGAAAGTTTTATAAGCTATAAAATTTCATCACTCAATAGTGAACTAAAAACACATAATTCATATAGACTATAAAAGGCTTATGTCTCCTTTTATTTGGACTTTATGGGTTTGGAACTAGAACACAGAATGGAATTGTCTTCCAAGCTATTTTTCTGGTTGAGTCGGGGAAGGTGGGAAACAAGTATAAGAATCCAAAGGATATCAGGTTACTAGATTGGTTATTGTTTATGAAATATTAATCAGCATCTGAACAACCTCTCATACGTTATACTTAGCTATGATACTAACATGTATGTGCCTAAAATTGATGTGATTCAAAATGGAAAGAAATATTTAAAAAAAAGAAAAGCTTTATAAGAAACTTAGAGTTTGAGAATATAAGTGAAAATGAAAAATGTTCATAGACATTAATTCCTTGACCTGGAGGGTTCCATTGTTTTACTACCACACTCTTGAAACTTGACTATTCCCATAGTGGTAAACAGGACTTAGCAATCATGTATTTTGTGTTTTTTGGCTCCCTCTTGTGGCTGAACTGTATATTCAATTCTTACCTAGAAACAGATTCCTAAGACTTCTCTTAAAGGTAAAAAGGTGACTGTCATTTTTTTCAATGCTGTTTTATTTTTAGTTGAAAATTTAAAAGTATACTTTTGTAATATGCTCATCATACATATTACAACATTATAAAAAATAATTTAATATGTAGAAAAAAATTCCTCTAGCAAAGAGTAAATTAATAAGTATTTTTATCTAAAAAAGGGACTGTTCTCATAACATTTAGATTAAAATTTTTCATAGATGGTACAGGAACATCTTCTGTGAACCTATTAATAAATGTTACAGACTTTTCTTAGATTACGTTAGGTCAAAGGCCAAGAAATAGACCAAATGACCTGATTGAATTCCTCTACACATTACTGTTTCATATTTCTTAATGTTTCTTCACTTGTATAAGTGGGTTTTGGCTTATTTGTTTTATTTTTGTTATTTACATGGTTTCTATTACTAATGATCTATGTTTTTAAAAAGGAATACGTGTTTTTCTAAAAGCTCCAATTTTGGGTTAAAAGTACTCATGTAACTCATTTCTATTGGGAAAAAAATGTTATAAGGAAAAGAAACCTCAAACTTACAAAGAATCATTTCCATAGAGGTCACTTTTTTTGTTCTGTGTCAAATAATAAAATTGCTCAATAGGAAGCTTTCTGAAAAAAAAAAAGAATAAATTCAAGTTTTTTTTTTACATAATACAATGGTGAAACATTTAAAGAGAAACAAAAAACATATATATATGTTATATGGAAATATAGTATAAAAGGTAGTATTTTAAATCAGTGGAAAAGAATTTTCAACAAACACAAGAAAAATTCAATAGCCATTTAGAAAAAATAGATTTCTATGTCTATTTGCAAAGATATTTCAGGTGGATTAAAAGTAGAAGGAATTGGAAAAACATAAATATTATGAGAAAAATACAAGATAGTGCTTTTTTCCCTTGTGTAGGGACAACATTCAAAAATAAGATTTTTTTTTAAAGGTCAAAAACCAAAGGGAAATTTGATAACATCAAGTGCCAAACTTTTGAAGACAGGACAGCATATAAAGGTACAATTAAAACAAAATTATAAGAAATATTTGCAATAAAGATATATAAACATTTAACTAATACCCAGAATATAAAGAATTAAGAAGAATCTATAGCTAAAAGACAAAGAATAAAATTGGACAAAGAATAAGAACAGATAAAGAGATGTAAATAGTCATATATATAAAAGAAAAAAAAGCCATATAAACCAGAAGCAGGAAGGTATATACTGGACGGTGTCACTTCCAGGTGGAATATAGAAAAAACAAATAAAGAGTTAGACAAAGATGTTCTTTAAAACCAATCTTTGAAAGCTGGTCTAACATGTGTGGATTTTTTGGGGACTATGGTGGAGGACTATCAGTTACTATACCTTAGTAGGGAGATTAATCCTACATTGTTCAATACAATAGCAAAACTATGGCACTAAATCAATAATAAAAAAAATTCTGCATTAAAAAAAGAAAAAGAAAACAAGTATAAGGAAAATACTCAGTCTATTTAGGGAAATGTATTCTGATCACTAAGCTAAACTTAACTCATTAGACAGGCAAAATAATAGAGTTTGATACTATACTTCACAGCTGGTCAAAATTATGAGGAAATGGGTACTTTTAGATACTACTATGAGAATATAAATCATTTGGGCTATATATACTAATATTTATAACAATCATTTATTGTGACCCATGATCTCCACTTAAAATTTTGTCTAGAGAAACAGTTTGAGATTCACAGCCAAGTTGGGAGGGAGGTGGAATTCCCAAGTACCTTTTCCCCTCACATGCTTAGCCTACTCCATTGCCAACCTCCCCCCCAGAGTGGCACATCTGTTACAGCTGATGAGCCTGCACTGATGCATCATTATCCCCTAAAGTCCATGGCATTCCTTTTAATACTTGCAATATTTTGTTACACAATGCTGTGCTCGACCGTCCCTTGTGGTTGTTCAGTGTCTTTTGAAGGCCCACCCTATACACATTTGACCCAGTGTAGATTTCACAAAACTTGCTTTCCCAGCCCTGTGTACAGGTAAAGGAAGAAATGTCTCCACTAGAGGATATCCTCTAATGGAGCTGTTGAATTGGAGGCAGAACTGATGATGTGGCAATTTGGGGCTCCTTATGACTCTGGAGAAAACAGGCAAAGAAGGACTTTAACAAGTAGACTGGGTTGACTGATTCTTAATATCAAGGACAGGAGGACTGTTGCTATACAATGAAGGGGAAAGGAATAGTACTAGAAGTTGACGACTCTGTTCTCTAAAGGGAGAAAGTTAATGGAATAATGTAGGAGCTTCACACAGGTAGGAACATTAAGGATCGCTGAAGGACAAAATTTGGGGCTGCTCCACCAGGTAATGCATATCTAACCAGCTCAGGCACTGGCTGAGGATAAGAGACCTTGGAGTGGGTAAAGGAGGAAGGAAATCTTCATGCCAACAACAGCCTAATAACAAGCTGTGGAAATGAGGACTGTGGCCTTACACCACATTTTCTTTTTTTTTTTTTTTTTCCTGTGCCCTGTATATTTTTATATAGAGATTGAACGACTCTTTTCTTTTTCCTTATTATTTCCTATAAGGTGTGAACATCATGGTTTACTTTGTCAAGTTTAGAGGCATGGACTACCAGGACAAGACTGTGCATGAACTACAGACATGCATACCACCCAGAGATCCTGGTTTGCAGTTCTATGCAGGACCTGATGACACCTTGGGTGACCCCTGTGGGGGGGAGGTAAGTAAATTTTCACTAGTCTCAAACGTGTTGCATTTTCTTATATTGAAACAAGTTACCAAACTTTGCTGTATATTATAATTATCTGAAAGACTTGACTCAAATGAAGATTCTTTTTCAGTAAATATTGACTGGGCTTTAAGATTTTACATTCATTATTTAATGGACCACATATTGATTCATGTTGCTGTGGTCCACAACCACAAGTTAAATAGAAAAACATGTTGCTGCTATTGCTGCTGTTGCTTTTAGTGACACTGGGAGCTCTCAAAGAGTTTTTATAATACCTTATCTACATTTTGCTAGTTACCTACATTGTTAATAGCCCAGTTCTCATGGGCTCTAGAAAATCCACTCTGGCTTTCCTAACAACTGGGTTCCTATGTGTGCACTAAATTCTAACAGTCATTCACATCTGCACTAGACTTTGACTTGAATCTGAGTACTACAAGAACATATAGGCTTCAGGTGGGATCTCATATGGCTAATAAAGTAGTAGCAGAGATGTAAATTTTAGCAAAGACACTTCCCTTGCTGAGACCAGTCCTAAGAATGAATTTGACTACTGTTCCCTGAAGTGTAGCAATTAGCCTATTTCTTTAGCCTCCCATAGTTTTGTGAGTTAACCTAATATTTTCTCATAAATCCTCTTCTTGAAGTGGCCAAATTGGATTGTTTTGTTAGCAATAAAAAATCCTAATGCATACCAATAAGTAGTGAACTTATAATTTAATTTGAAAAGAATAAAAGTAGCTTTATTAGAAAAATGAACCTTTAAAAAGGCAAATGTAATTTAATTCAAGTGAGATAATGTCTGGAAAGCACTTAGGACAATGTGTGGCCTGAAGAATAATGCTATTGTTTAAAAAAAAGATTGTTTCCTTTCCATTCTAAAAGTTTGCACAATTACATAAAAGCCTATACAAATACCACCATGTAGTAGATTCTAGACCTTGCTTGCTAAAAAACAGATGTAAGAAAGTTGAGAGTAGAGGTGTGCAGCTCTCATAAGAAAGAGTAGAGGTGTGCAGCTCTCATAAGAAAGAAAAATTTCAAGAATAGGATCAGAGTTCATGGAATTTATAAAAGAACGTTTATAATTTAATTGGCATTTAAATGAGGAAGTAAAACTAAAGGAATTAGAAAACTATAGGTAAAGCTCCACTACATAGATTTCTGAAATATCTATAAAGTAACAACATGTTTTTGGAACATTTAAGATATTACCGGCATTATTATTTTAAGATAATACTGTCAGATATGACAGAGAAGATAAGAAAAGGCCCTGGCTCACTTGTGTTCCCTCTCCCCCACTTCTACACTTTGGTTGTTTAGATAAGCTGTATTTTGCCAAAGTTTCTAGCATTTACCTGGGTTACAGTAATTTTCCCAATCATTTATGTTCAGTGATTTCATAGCTGAATGAATTCACTGTTCACCATCAACCCTTCTTATCACAGCATCTCTGTTCTTTAGTTATGATTCTGATTCATTGTTTTGTTTGTTAAATTTCATACTTTAGGCTTTTTAAAAAAACGTTATTGGGTGCTACAGACGGTACATTCCCACATGCTTCAGGTGCTCGCTTGTTTCTTTGGGCTTGAGTGACAACTTCACTATAATCTCCTTGGGTAAAGAAAAAATGTTTTTAAAGATTTATTTTATTTATTTATGCATTCAAGAACTAGGGTCTAGGCTAGAGGTGCTGGGGTGAGAGGATTCAGCAGAGATAGAGTGAGGAGCAGAACAGGTGGATCTGATGAAATATGCTGCTGAGGGGAGCAGTGGGCAAGACAGGAGAGGTCTGCTGAGCCAGGTATAGAATTCTGTGGCTGGCAAAAGCTTGATAGTGTTGAGACTTTAACCCCTGAGCCACCATGAAGGCCCCTGCATTCTAATTGGAACAAATACTTCTTCCAGTGTTATAAGGCTATATTCAAATAAACACCAAACACAAACCTTTCACTGAAAACTCAATTTTAGAAGCTATCTTTCACCTTTTTAAAAATAAATAAACTCTAATTGTGTGAGTGTACTTCCAGTTCTTTTTGAATACTGTGACATTATTAATATACAAATTTGGGGAACAATTGCAGTAAATTACCTAAGAAGCTATAGTTTCTGAACAATGCTTCTTGTTATGCTCAGAGTACTGAATAGATAAATTATTAGCTGGGATAAAAAAATGTATGAATACATGACAAGAACTTGAAGTTTAGAATAAGTAAGCCTGGAGTCGATACCTATTCTGTAACTTCAAAATGGTCTGACCCAAGGAAAAGTATTAAATCCCTGGGCCTCATTGTAAAATCAAGATAACAATATTCATTTTACAAAGAAACATATCTATGTTTTATTAGAAAGTTTTATGAAATGGTACTTAAAAATATGTTGTCTGAACTAAGGAATTGGAGATCTTCTTTATAATATTCAATATATTGATATTTGTACTTTTTCTCATTGGACTGAAGTCTTTTCATTTGTCTTCTTTTTAATTTGCTTTATTGAGACTTTGATAACATCATCAACTACTACATGTTCTTTTGTTACTTTTTCTCTTTCTGAGGCTTGTCTTATTTCTTTGAGCTGATTTAGAACAAAAACAACTAACTAGCCAGACTGTTAGTAAATGAGGTACTTGGATTGTTAGATAAAGCAGGAGTAGGTAGGCTCTGTCTGAAGGTTTGATGGATTTTGCTTTGGGTAAATGTCATTTTTTTAATAGTTTATATGACATTTCATTTTCTGCTCAGTTTTTTTTTGCTTTCTCTTAAGTTTTAAACTGTTATACATACTACACATGTGCTTTAAGATTTATATATGATTTGAATATTCTAACACTGAAAAGAACTCAATATACTTGAAGAGATTAACAAACAAATCAGAAGTCAAAAGTTCCCAAAATCAAGAACATCTGTATAGATGAGCTCAGTGATTTGCCCAAGCAAAAACATTTTTAATTTAACCTCTCTTAGGAATAGTCCACTTATTTTTGGATAAAATATTACCAAAAGAGTTAGACTGATCAAATACTTGAATATCTCTAAGGACAGCAAAAGCATCCATAAATAAAGATTTCTAACTAACTTAGCAATTAGAAGTCATATAATTAGTTTTTCCATTTGTGTCTTTTCATTAACAGCAAAAGAAGTAAAATATGAAGGTAGATTTAATAGAAGGTTCACAATAGAAATAAAGGAAATGAATAATAAAGACCTCTGTGTGAGCAGAGAAAGCTTACTTACCTTGGCCAGTTTTCTCCACCAAATCCATAATGCTGGTGTCCTTTGCCCATGGCAGAAAGAGGTTCGCCCTTTGGTCTGTGTTCTTCAGGGAGTGAAATAGGCATCATCCTGCCATACTCCCTTTCAGTGCCCCACGTTAGCCTACATTGTTTGAGAGACTCCCTTAATTCACGATATCTGAAAAAGGAGAGGCCTGAAACAGCTTCATCATGGAATGTTAGGATCTGAGTATTTGTGTTCCCCCAAAATTCATCTGTTGATTTACTAATGTCTAGGGTGATGGTGTAAGGTGGGATTCTTTAGGCCGGGAAGAGTTAGTAAAGATAAAGCCCTTATGAATGGGACTGCTGTTCTTATCAAAGACAGGGCAAGAGTGCTAGCTTCCTCCTCCATGTGAGGATATATTGCAAAGTGCCAGCTATGAACCAAGAATCCTTTTCATTAAGACATGGTCATGTTGGTTACCTCTGGAATTGTAAGAAATAAACATATATTGCTTATAAGCTATCTGGTCTGCAGTATGTTGTTAGAGCACCCCAACAGACAAAGAAAAAACAACTAAAATCCTGAGCTTCAAAGTTATTTTTAGATTGTTTTCAGAACACAGAATTATCAGTGCTGGGTAAATAATGACAGATATTATTTAGGTATCTGCATCTGCTGAAGCAGTGAGGTTAAACTCCTGAGGAACTGCAGATTATCATTTTTTTCTTTTATAGTTGTTAACACATGTACTTATTTCTTTTAAAAATCTTTATTAAGATATAATTCATATGCCAGATGATTCATCCACTTGAAGTATATAATTACTGCACACTTGAAATTCATACAAAGTTACCTCAATTAAAAAAACATACAATTAAGTGAATTTTATATAGTCACAGATCTGTACCAACATAGCTATGATCCTTTTAAACATCTTCATCATCTCAAAAACATCTTCAGTTATGGTCCCCCTATGCTAGCCCTAAGCAACCGCTAATCCACCTCTTCTCTCTCTAGACCTGCATGTTCTGGACATTACATATACATGAAATCATTTGTGGGGGCTTTTGTAACTATACCATATATCAGCTGTTCATTTCTTTTGGGCTGAATCATTTTCCATCTTATGGATATAACATGTTTTCTTCATTCATCAACTGATGAATGTCGGGATTTTTCTACATTTTGGCAATGGTGAAAAATTCTATGAACATGTATGTACTAAGCTTTGTTTGAGTACTTGTTTTCAGTTCTTTTGGGTATATACCTAGAAGAGGGATGGGCTGTATCACATAATAATTCTATGTTTAATTTTTTGATGAACTATTCTTGTTATTTATTTATTTATTTATTTTTAATTATTTTTAAAGATTTATTTATTTGTGCATACAGAACTGGGGTACAGGCCAGAGGCTCAGGGATGGTGAGAGGCTTCACCAGAGACAGAATGGGGAACAGAACAGGCAGATCGAGGAAGTACACTGCTGAGGGGAGCAGCGGGGGGTGGTGGGCAGGAGAGGTCTGCCACACCATGTGGTCACCTCGGAGGCAGGCAGGAATCGAACTCATGCGGAAGCGGCTTTAGATTATCAGTGTTGTGCTTTAACCGGCTGCGCCACCAGGGAGGGCCGAACTATTCTTGTTTTGTAAGGATAACTTTAATGAAATGCAGCCAGTCAGTCATTTTATACTGTCTACTGTCTGTGGCTGGCTTTTATTTTTATTTTTAAGTTTTATTTATTCATGCACAGAAGAACCAGAAGTACAGTGGGTGAGAGGATTCATCAGAGACAGAGTGGGGGGCAGAACAGGCAGATCTACTGAAATACACTGCTGAGGGGAGCACTGGGCAAGACAGGGTTGCCATATGGGTTAGATCACTGGGGCAGAGAATGGAACTCAGACCCTTTATGGTGATAGTGTTGAGACTTAACCCCTAGGCCACCAGTACACCCTGTCTGCAGCTGTTTTTATCCTACAGCAACAGAGTTGAGTAGTTGACAAAGATTGTAAAGTCTAAAATGTCTCCTATCTGGTCTTTTACACAAGAAGCTTGCCAGTCAAGCAAGGAGATTTGGGTGGCTAGCTGTAGAGACCTGTGGAAGGGAAGGGTGGAGGCACTCAGCTCTGGAGCCTTTACCTGCTTATGGCTATCATCAACATTCACAGTTTGAGGGGCATGACAAGTGAAAAATAGTTAAACATATTTGATTAACGAACACCCAAGCTTTAACAGCTGAGCTTTAAAAAGTTACATTTAGGCCCTCCCTGGTGGTGCAGTGGGTTAAAGCACAGCACTGAGAAGCTAAAGCCACTTCCACATGAGTTCGATTCCCGCCTGCCCTGGAGGTGACCACATGGCGTGGCAGACCTCTCCTGGCCCGCCTGCTGCTCCTCTCAGCAGTGTACTTCATCGATCTGCCTGTTCTGTTCCCCGCTCTGTCTCTGGTGAAGCCCCTCACCGCCCCTGAGCCTCTGGCCTGTACCCCAGTTCTGCATGCACAAATAAATCTTAAGAAAAAGTTACATTTAAATTAGATGAGTCAGTTTCTCAACATCTGACCCCATATATTACACTATTTCTGGAAGATGAGCTAGTAAAAAAATGTTAATCAATCATTTGGTTTGCAGGAAACCATTTCAAATGTGGCAAAGCAAAAATAAGTCATATTTCTGTTTTATTTTAGGGTATCCTATTTCTCTCCCTTAGCTTTAATGTTAATAGACTCTCAGAGAAGAAAGTACTTATTTATTGTAATTGAAGTATTAGGATTAAATAATTTTAAAGCTTCAATGACACATGTTTCCATAAAGGAAAATAACAAAATTATTAGTGCTGCAGCCTGTAGCTATATAAAATTAAAGTTTACTTGTTTTTGACAAAGATATGTTCCTTATGGATGAAACACTCTTGCTTTAGCGTAATTTTACAGAATTTTGAGCATTCCATTCCAAACTCTGGGGGCTTAAGTTAGCCAGTAGTTATTGGAAGGCATGATAAAGGAAAGCTGAGCACCAAGGTGCTGTCATCACCAGTTGGCTGGGCGCTAATAGTAAAAAACTAAATGAATGAAAATTCAAGAATCAGAAAGCAATGGAATGAATCCAGAAACAAAAGTGGAAACCTATAATGAACTCTTAAAACAATTCTCAAATGCTTCTGTAATTGAGATGTTTGTCTGATGAGCTAGAGAATCTGCTAGAGATAAGGTGATGTTAACTTAATAGATAAAAGGGATAGGAATCTGTGATTATTTGAGTAGCTATAACTGCCATTTTAAAGCTTTCAATGAAAATGTACAAAAGAATATCATGTGTTTATTAATATTTTTATAGGGATCAAGTCACACAAGTGGGTGTGTGTATCTTCAAAGTTTTAAAGGGCTGCTGTCATGGAAATGACTGATTATTCTTGTTTTGCATGCTTCTGAAGAAAGAACCAGGATCAGTGGGTAGAAATTACAAAGAGGAAATAAAATCTCTGTAGAAAGAAAATTACCTAACAATCAGGAGCATTCAAAAATGGAATGGACTGCTTGTGTAATAATGAGGTCCTAATTTGAAAACTGCTTAAACTGAAGAAGGAAGGGGCTTTCTGTCTGATTTATTAAAGCACATTGAAAAATTTGATGGCGTAAAATTAAAAACAACAACAAAATCAAGAGAGTCACCACAGACTATTTTTCGTGGTTCTTATGGTTTAGATCATTTTCTTATGATGATCAAGTAAATATGTTACAGAAAAGCTGGTATTATGATGTTGGCAAAATGTACCTGGAACTTTATATGTAAAATGGGGGTAATGCTAGTGTTGATGTCACAGAGTTACTCTGAGGATTAAAAATATTACTCCACACAAAGTATCTGGTACAGTGCCAATACAAAGTAGGCACTCAGTATATATTAGATGCAATTTTATCATAATCTGTAATTAATATTATAGGAAACTTGGCAAAGCAAAAATTTAGACTGCTAGAATGAACAGTAGTTCTGGGAGTATTTTTGAGCAAATGATGATAGGGAACCACTACACTACTTTTTATAAAGTTTGATTAATGTAGGTTAATTTCCAATTGAAGGAACTGATCATTCTAGAATGATGAGGATGTAGTAGATGACTCTGTTATCTGCCTTTTAAACACACATCACAGTTTATTTGTACATTCCTAAAAGAAGTGGACACCTCAAGGTTTTAGTTCACTGTTAGATATGCCTTCCCTGGGATGTGTTCAACAGAAGAGCCCCACTATGATAAATGTTTACCTCACATACAAAAATACAGTATAACTTTTCCTCCTTTGCTCTGTTTTTTACCTGTGATGTGAGGCAGTTGGGCGAGTAGTTGTTTCTAGTGGAGTGTGTATTTCGTTAGAGTAAAAGGTGTCGGACAGTATGTCAGATCCATCAAGCTCCCTGCAACAGTAGGGCCTGCCGTGAATTACCTCCATGCTTCTTGGTTAATCAGGCACAATCTGAAAAAGAAGAGGTGGACACACTTGACCACAGTTATGCTGACCCTTTTTCAACAGGCTGGAAACATACTTTGTACGACTTCATTGTTCAAACCAACACTGGAAATCAGGGGCTTCCCTGTTTGCCGGAAGCCCACATGTTCACACATGCATGTGACTGTTCTGAGATGTCACACCAGTAATACTTAAGTCCTGTGGAATGAATTTCAAGAGAAACAAATTCACAAAGTAGAAGATGTTTCTTAGAACACTGCGTGGCTGATCTGTATGTAGTTCTATATAAAACTGCTACTTCGCAGACATGGACTAAAATTCATTTTTGGCCTCACATTTAACCTTAACGATTCAAGTAAGCAGCTACTCCTCCCCTCTCCCCAGACCCTCTCCCCAAAGTTCTTTCTGAAAGCAAGGCACCGCATCCAACATGCTCAGCAATTGTACTTCTACAGGTGTCTGGGATCCTGAGCAGAGAAGGCCTTTGTAGAGAAGATGGAGAATTAGCAGAGCAGATTGAAATGAACCCCTAAGTCTCGAGCACCCCATCCTTCCCTAGGACTTGGGGGTTGGCCGCAGGAGGAGGCGCTGGGACCTCGAGCTCGGGGTTGGTTTACAGCACCAGCCTTCCGGATCACCAGCGCCCAGCCGAGCGGTGCCGCGAGGTTCGGGCGCACCTGGGGCACCGGCCAGGCAGCGGCACGAGACCGCGCGTTCCCTTCACCTCCCAGAGCTGGCGGGTCTCCGCGGGGCGTGAATTCGGCTGTTGTCCGCACCTGCGGCCCCGGGAGCTAGCGGGCAGGTGCGGGGGAAGGAGAGAGAAAGACGGCGGGAGGGCGAGGGGCGGGGTTGAGGGTGCCTGTGACGGCGACCGTGACCGTGACACTAGGTAACGCATCCTGGCTGGCGACGGCCAGCGGGCTACCACGGCTCGCAGAGGTTTCGCAGGAAGCCAGCCCCGGAGCCACGAGACTAGTGAGCGGCACGGGGCCGGGAAGTGAGGGAAGAGGCCCCGACCGCCAGTCCAGAGGCGAAAGGTGCGGGTCCGCGGACCTCTGCCCGGCTGATCCACCCCTTGTTCCTTCCGTACTACTCCACCCTAGCCTTGGGCGCCCCCGTTTTTCTTCCTCCAGAGCGTGGTATTTTACGTGTGCACTGGGTGGATGACACGGGCAGGATCAAGAGAGAGGCAGGGCTGGTGAGGCAAGAGCTTCAGACCTCTCCTCTTCCTTGCTTGTCCCTTCGCTGGAATAGGTGACAGTGCGACTAGATGAAGGGGCCCAGACGCAGCAAGGGTGGCTTTTGCAGGAATGGGTGAGGATCAGGTTGATGTCAGATCCATCAAGCTCCCTGCAACAGTAGGATCTGCCGTGAATTACCTCCATGGTTCTAGGTTAATCAGACACAATCTGAAAAAGAAGAGGTGGAACCTGCTCAGTTCCCAAGGACCTGGTTCTGCTTCCTTTATTTCAGTTGTCCAGAAATGAATATGAAACAAGTTTCTGCACTTCCAGGGCCATGAGGTTCTGTGATGACTGAGAACTGAGCCCCCAAGAAGGGGAGGTGTTGAAAGGTCACTGCAGGAGAGGCTCTTATTAAACCAGAAAGAACACAGAAAAAGAACACCTCTGAGAAGGGAGGTGTAAGATATGTCCTCTATTTTAGAAGTCTTTAATCAAACCAGCAGTGGGTATTCATTTGTGCAGCGTCTTCTATGTGAGAGCTGATGTAAGGGGAAGAAAGGTGCAGGAGCAGACAAGGTGGTATTTATAGTCTGTTTTTCAGTTCCTACACCTCTCCTGCAGCTCTTATAGTCAAGTAGAACTGTCTGTTGAGAGATTGTTGTGAATTTGGTGAAGTCTGGCCCCTTTATACATCTTTTTGCCCTTCAGTTTCTTATGAGTCCACCCTCCGCCCTAACCTCTTTGATGCTTCTGTTTTGGGGATTCCCTCATTCTAATGGGCTTTGTATCTTTTGTGTCTGAGATAGCTTTGATTCCCAAAAAGTAATTGGCCCACAATATAATAGTACAGGGTTAATTCATACTCACTCATAGATTCTGATCTTGTCTGTAAATTTCCCTTAGATTCACAGTCTACTGGTGCTAGTTTTTTCTGTTTAAAATTATATATATTTTTATTGAAGTAATTGTATAAAATTAGAGATACGGGTTCACACCCTTTCAGATATATACCACCACACCACACCCACCACCAAAGCACCAGTCACCCTTCCCCATAGTCTGTTTAGCTCCCTCCTCCCTTTGCTTCCCATATCTTCCCATCTCTCTAGTAGCCTCAGTTCTGTAGTCAGATTTCTAGGCTTTGTTTTGATTTAGTTTTGTCTGTATCTGTATTTGGTTTCTTTATATACTACAGATGCGAGACAACATTCTATTTGTCCTTCAGACTTATTGTACTGAGCATAATCCTTTTCAGTTCTGTTCTTGTGGTTGCAGATACTGCTGCCAGTTTTTAAGTAAGAAACTGGGCCATCATCCTTGGTACCTCTCTTTTACTCATATTCTTTATCCAGTTTATAACATATTCATCAGCTCTACTTTCAAAATATACTTAGAATCTAGCTACTTCACACAATCTCTTCCTCTACTACCCTGGTTCATTACTCTATTATCTATTCTCTGCATTATTTAAAGTCTCCTAACTAATCTGGTTTCCTTTCTTGTCATCTATAACCGGTACTCCATTCAGAGGCCAAAGGAACAATTTTAGGTCTATTAACTTGCCATTAGTTTTCTACTTACATGATCTATTCCTGTTCCTTACTCCTTTCCTGCCTTTTGTATTAATCAAGAATTTATTATTCATCTCCTCCATTAACCTTTTTGATGGTAACCTTTATTGGTTACTCAAGAAATTGCAAAATGCTTTCTAACTGTATTACAGTTTACTTAAATTAGTGCTTTCACCACATACTGGACAGTGAATGAGATATTTGAAATACCTGCTACCCTCAGCCTCCAGGGGAGACATCCAAAACACCCCCTACCCCAAATACATCGAAAAAATAAAGACCCATGTCACCAGAAAAAAAAAAAAAGGCTGAGATATCTAAGATACTTGTGCTTCCCACAAAGAAATGCCTTACAAAAGAAATTGTGAATTCCTGCATCTCCTGGAGGTGATCCTTTGCTGCCTTCTGGTCCTCTTTTGTATTAACCACCCCTTATAGGTACCAGTCACCAGACTACTCCAATAAGAATATAAGCAACAACTGAAAGCCACCCTTACTACATTAAAAAACAAAAAATGTGGAGACATAAGAACTCAGTACAAATATCAGAACCAAAAATCCCCAAAGGAGTCCTGACTCAGTGGTTGGTTTAATATACAAAGGTCAATCGTGATTCATATAACAGGCAATTTAACAATGTAAAATACTTAAAAAAAAAAAAGCCTCTGGACATCAACAAGCATCCTGAGGGCTTTGTGGTTAAGAGGGAGGAAGAAGGGAAAGGGGCAGGGGGATACAGGGATGGTGGTAGGGGAATACAATAAAGCAGAAAAAAAATTTAACCAAAATAAATTTTAACCCAACTAGCAAAAATAAAATTACACTGGGGTAATAAGCAACACATTGGAACTGTCCCTGGAAACCGGTGTACCACCCTAATTATAAGCCTTGTAGAATTCTTTGTAGATTTTGTGCATGTATATCTTTGCTAAACATAAAATAAATTCCATAAGAAGAATGCTAAGATTTGGGAAATTAATTAGTACAACTTTACTGTCTGTGCAGAAATGATGTCTGTAGTATTTCTGATGTGTAACTATCCAGTCTTTGCTCAAAGACCTTTATAAGGCTCAAATTTGTCAGATCTAATTATTAGAGCTAATTGTTAGAAGTTATTTTTTTTTCAGATTTGCCAATTTTTATCTTTCACCAATAGACAACAGCACAGAGGCCTTTCTAGTCTATGACTAGTCCTGATTTTAGAAGTCCAGGGTTTTCATTAGTCCCAACAAAGTGATCCTTCTCCCCTGTCTCATTTCACAGCTTTTCTGTATAGCTATGCTGTGTTTATTGGTATTGGGGTAAACAGTACCTGCACACTTGAAAAGTGAGAGAGTAGGTTTGATTAGGGTAACACACAAGACTTCAGAAGTGATTCAGTGTCCAAAGTAGGGCCACGCATGCGTGACCCTACAATGTACAGTTTTATCAGGTTTGATTGGCACGTGAAAGGCTCATGCATCAGGGAAATCATTCACTGTATTGATGTAGCACCCTTGGCTTCAGGCCTGCTTCACTCCTCCATCAGGCTGCCACCATTGACCTCTCACTGACCTTTGATGTAGGACAGGGCCAAGATTGAAAGGGAGAGGTTTAAGGTGCACTTGTTAAAATGCCACCCATCCAGACTGAAGTCCAAACAGCATAATTTACCATAATACATTTTAATTAATCAAATAAAAAAGAGGTTGTGGTGTCTAATCAAAGAAAGTAAAGCTTATTAAAAAGCAAATGGCTTAATTGGGAGGGAAACAAAAGTGAATTAGGTCAAAAAGATGTATTAAGAAGAAACTAAAGACATCTTTATTAAAATAGATCTATTGTTGGCTTGTGTGAAAGGAAATGCACATAGAAAATGAAGACTCAGGCAAATATTTTAGCATTTTATTGCTTTGTGACCTCAGTGGCTGTCAATTTTAGAGTAAATGCAATCTTTGCATTCCACTGCAGATATTTTAATATAACAAGATCTCTCTTTATTGAGGCAAACACATAATTATTTTTATATAATTCAGGGGTACAGGAACACCCCTTCAGATGTATGTCAGCACAACACACTCACCCCAAGGCACCCATAGTCCACCATGGCCACGCTATGATTTCTGTAAAAAGGATAATACTGATTTTCAATAGGTAGTTGATTTTGATTTAAGTTTATACTTTTCCCTAGTGATGTACTGATTCCCTGATGTTAATAATATTTAACTCACAGCTATACTAGATTTGC